TGTCTGCTTCTAAACAAGAGGCTTCATTCAGCAGTTTCAGCAGTAGCAGCAGTAGCAGCATGACTGAAATGAAATTTGCAAGCATGTCTGCCAAAAGCATGTCCTCCATGAAAGAATCCTTTGTAGAGATGAGCTCCAGCAGTATTACGGGGAAATCTAGTTTGACACAACTGGAGAGTTCAACTAGTAAAATGCTTAAATCAGGTTTGAGAGGTGAGCAATACAATTACCAGTAGAGTTAGCATATCAACTATCCTGGAGTCATACTTAGACTAACTCCACTACAGGGAGATAATTCTTAATGAAAATAACTAACTTGATTTTTTCCCCATTTCTGTAAAGGAGTACCACCCAAAATTGAAGCTCTTCCAGCTGATATCAGCATTGATGAAGGGAAGGTTCTTACTGTATCCTGTGCCTTTTCGGGCGAACCTGCTCCTGAGGTAACATGGTACTGCAAAGGAAGAAAAGTTTCTAGTCAGGACCAGCAAGGCAGATTTCACGTTGAAACCAGTGAAGATCTAACCACTCTTATAATTATGGATGTCCAAAAGAATGATGGTGGACTTTATACACTAAATTTAGGAAATGAATTTGGTTCCGACTCTGCCACTGTGAATATTAACATTCGATCAATTTAGAGAGCTTGATCTGTTTTATTTACACTTGACTTTTTACAAGTGATTCATATGGACTGAAATATCTGATCTGTAAATATAAAAAAAATATTTTTGTACCTACCTGAATGAGACAAAGTCCAAAGATATACATTATGACTTATAGTCATTATTGACTTATGAATTTTAAACATTTTTTCATTGACATGTACATACTGTATATAGCCGAAGTTAACGGTTATGGAGTTTTGTACCATTTATTTTGTGACATTTTAAAATGTAACTTTTGGAACTAACTGTTGGTAGGAGAACGTTTCTGTCGAAATGAATACCCTGCTCAACATTTAACTAAATTTTGTGCCTCAACTCATTGTTGATGTCTAAGAATGCCTCAACGGGTAGAGAGGCTCCCTGTTGAAGACTACCTACACCTAAGAGCGGATACTGTGCATGATATGTTATACCTGCACAACTATTTATGTTGAATCAGAAATGTAAGACATTGGTGATGTTTACAAATACCCTCCTGTAAGCAGCACTTTAATGTTTTACATTGGAACTGATTAATGTCTCACAAACATTTATTTCTGCGACTGACTTAATTTTTGGGGGGCAAAGTGCAAGCGGCCAGCACTTTGTTCACTCACTGTTTGTGTACTGTTTCTGACATACTGACTGCCTGAATAGCTTTAAAAAGTAACACCACCTGGCCATCCCCTCATCACAGTTGTTCAGGTACTCAAATGCAGCAGCAGTACCAGCTCTTGGAGGTTCCCAGGGTGCAGTGATTGTGAGTTTGTGTGGTAGTATTAGAACTCTATTACGTAGTAATTTCTGGGTAACTAAGCAGTGAACCACAGTTTTAGAAAAAAACCCAAAAAACTGTTGTCAACACCACATACAACCTGACACTTCAATTTGATGTAGTTCTCTACTGTAGTAATACATATTATTGTTAGCTGTATTTGTTGAACCTCCTTGAAGTAGCATTGTTCCTTTGAATTAAAGCATGCTATCTGCACCTTACAACTTGGGCTTTCTTGTGATTTGTTTAGTATGTTATATTTTATTGGTACTTCCATTTGTTTTTCAGTCATAGACCACCTTCCCATCTCTGACCAGAGCCATGCACTCTGCTCCTGTCTTTACCCCTGCATCCTTCTCTTCCCTTCACAATCTTGTTCACACTGACTCTCTCCATCTCTCCCCCTCCAATCTTTTAGCAGTCTCTCTATTTCACTCACTTGCTTGCTCACTTACTCTTTTAGCATATACCCTGGATGGATTAAGATGGTTAGGATCACACTGTACAAAGCAAGACAACAGCAGAGTATCAAACAACAAATTGTTGAAAAATTCCTTGCAAGGAAGGGATTGGCTAACATAAGAGTGAGGAGTAAATAGAGGGGAGATGAGACAGGGCAGGGAAAATTTGCTTTGCACTTTAGTGCACTGGGCTTCCACATTCATTAAGCTGTTGATACAAATATTCCTGGTGTCTCTTACAATTGATATTGATCAGATCTCAGGACTTTCCAGACTGGCTTATTTTTCAGGAGAGAAATCAGTAATAAAAGTCTGAGGCTACTCTTAGTGTAACTTCTTTCACTTGTGGCATACATATCAGTTCTTTCACAGAGGTGTTCTCAAAACATATGCAGACAGGTCCTCCTGGCAGTATAGCAACCAGCACATCAATTACTAGTTCAGAGGTAACAACTCAGCATTGACTCAATCTAGAGAGATTAAGGCAGTGAGAGCAAACATTCCTCTTCGTAAAAACCGCCCCTCCCAACCTCCACAAAAATGGCATCCCAAAACTAAAAACAGTGAAATACTGCCTCAGAGACAAGTACACTGTTCACAAGAGTTAGAAAAATTATATATAATGATGGCCATCATATCAGTAACAGAAGGCACAGATTTTAAAATAATAATGTGTTTGAACCCCATTGAAATCCATGGCAATGAGGTACCTAAATACCTGTAAAAAAAATTGATCCCTAAATCTAACTTTCACCAACTTTCCTTGTCTCCTGAAAAAAGCCAAACTATAAAGACTGTCTATACTGTTAGCCTATACTGGGAGGGCATTTTTGTCAGGTAGCAAATTAACTCTGCATTCCTCCCAAGTGTCACATCAATCTCCTTCCCTGGCCCAATTTGCTCTTTCTGCCATGTTCCCTTCCCAAACTGCTGTTCTGCTTTCTACTTCCTATCTGCCACCATGCTACTTGTCCTGTCTCTGACCTGCTGTCTGCCACATCTGGTACACACAACACAGGTTGGCCACCGTTGACCTATACCATTATCCCACTTCTGTGTTCTTTGCACTTTCCTTTCTAGATTTCCATTAGACTACCTTCCCACCCCACCTACCTGTGGGTGTCACCAGCTTGTAATGCATTCATCCCTCAGTTGATAGTTACTGCATGTGCTATTTAATTGGAACTCAAGTGTTCTTACTTATCCTCCCCAGCTAGCTGCCACCTCCTCCTCCTCCCAAGTGAAGAGAAACCTTATCACTGCACTACAGAATTAGGCTCCTCTCCTGTATGCTTTTTTTGGCCCCATGACACTTGCACTTGTAGCTGCTGAATGGCTACCTTCAATGGCAGAACTGAAGTGTGCTACTAGCTGACAGCCCCACTGTCCAACGGTCATGACACTCCAGTTCAAGGGATTCCTAAGGAATAATGTCTGTACCCCTCCTCACCATACCCATAAAAAGGGGTGTTGTTTTCATCATTTTCAACTTCTTTACTCTTTTTTTGGTTCAAAAAAAAAAAAAAAAAAAGAGGAAAAACTAGGACACACACCCTCATCTAATTTATACAATAGGGTTTCTCCCCCTTACTTCAGCTGTTTGGAGACCAGTTTAGAAATTTTTCAAAAGGCGTACAAAAGCTTTAGTACCTCCACTTCTACTGTTCACAATTTACAGCTCTCTGGAAAATATCTAAGACAAACACTGACCAACATGCTAACTTGATGGTTCAAGCAACGTTCCATAGTCAAGAGAAAAAAATAAAATATTTTAGCCAGGGAACTGACATGCTGTGCATTGCAACACTTTAAACAGGTATTTCCTGCTTGATGTGTGGGAATACATGGATTTCTTTGAAAACATGCAACAATGTTTTATTTTCACAAATAGTGGGCGGGTCTACACATACAATTAGAGCACCTAAATAAATTCCAGTGCAGTTTGCACCAGAATATATTGCTCCTAGGTGCCGCATCATCACGTGGGATCAACACAGCATGTTGACCTGGGGTGGAGCAGCCCTGGCTGGCAGAGGGCTCCAGGCGTTACCCTGCCAGCCTGGGACTGCTCTGACACAACTCAATATGCTGCGGGAGAGCTGGCTGGGACACGAGGTGCTTCAGTGTGGGGCTAGCCAGCAGGCAGCCCTGCACTAAAGAACCCTCATGCCCCAGCCAACCCGGTCAGCATCTACATGTGCATTGTGGGACAGTAAATAACTCCACCATAGTATAGTACTTGTATCTGGCAGTACTATCCTATGGCAGTATTAATTACTTTACTCTGTCCTAATAGCACCACGCAAGTAGATGTTGATGTTTTACTGTGGAGCTAATTAGGAAACCCTGCAGTGTCTCATGTAGATGCACCTACCAAAGAATTAATTTTCACCTTTGAGTGCTCAAATATTTAGCAAACAACATGGATTTCAAAATTGACATTTTTCATTGCAATAGTCAACAACGGGGGCAGATCAAAGGGGATGCAGTGGCATGACCACCCCCTTCCATTGCTAACCCTTCACCACCTTTCTGGCCATATTGCAGAAGCAGCAGCCAGGGACTTTTTAAGTCCTGAACAACGTAAGAATTCCATCACCCGCCCCATCCTTCTCCTCCATGCACAAAGACACATCCCCCTCTCCTCCCATTCCCCAATGTCCAATTGCTGCTGCCAGTGTCCCCTGTCCCAAGGGCAAAGGGAGCTCCTGTCTTGTATCAGCCAAGCTGCATAGGAGTTGGGTGCAGCCCAGGATGGCAGAAGCAGGCATGTGGGGTCTCCCTCCCCATGCCTGTTCTCTGACTGGTGGGGAATATCCAGGGGAACCAAACAAAAATGGGGAACCCACCTGCCCACTGCTACCATCCCAGGCTGAACCCAGCCCCCATTCTGCCTGGCTGGAGCTGCGAGACATTGGTGGCACTTAAGTCACCTCTCACTAAGCTGTAGAATAGTGTCATTTATGCTACCATGCTGTTGATAATCCCCGTGACAAAATGACTTTATTATAGTATATCTCTGACATAGTCTAACCTACTTTAAACCCATTTCTCTACTGTTTATTATACCTTGACACAATGAAAGGACAGTTGGAAATCAAATTTGCAACACAAGAAAACAATGGAATAGTCCTTTATTTTTTCCTAGAGTCTATTTACTACAGCTGCACCGTTCCAAAGCCAGCTCTGTGAAGGCAGATTGTACTGGCTGCATTGTAAAAGGAGCATGTACTTTATTTTTTGTGTTTAAGTTCAGCCACGATTCTGATAAAGCATGAAGTAGTACCAGGCCAGCTTAACATGGCATAAACTAAAGTTTTGGACAGTTACATACTTAAAAAGGCTTGCATTTAATAATTACATATAAAAATAAGTGCAATAAGCAATGCCTTCAGAAGCAAAACAGGAGATCATAATCAACTATAAGAAATGTATTTAGGAATCTTTAAGGAGGAAGGCAATTGCCACTTGGCTTGGCTTGCATGAAGTTGTATATGGACAGCTTAAACCGAAGTCATATTGCTGAAAAAACAAAATGTCTTCAACTTTTCCTTTAGATACTAAAATACAGTACATTTTATTTTCATAACTCATACAGGGCATTAAAATGTTATACAGAAGTTTTATGATAAAAGAAGAAAAGTTTTAAAGTAAAGAATTAAAAGTGAAGTTAATTCAGTTTTTCAAAAGGACATGTTTTAAACAGGGCAACACAAAAATCATTCCCTCCCCAACTTTGGCAAGTACCTGGGGGGTGGAGGCAGATAAGAATGTAAAGGCTGAGCTGGTAAAAGCAATGCCATAGAAGTAAGATGAAGCAAACACATGGAGAGCTCTGAAACACATTTGGATCTAGCTCTGCCTCTCCTTACTCTTGTACCCATCAGGCAATAAGAATCTTTGACCTCCATGGAAGTTAAGGGAGCTTAGGGTACGTTGAAACTCATAATGCTGTTCTGCACAAATAGCTTGGGCATCCCAGGCACTGAATATATAAGCACAGCATGCTGCCCAGACAAATATTCCCTGCATCTCATGAGAGCTAGTTAGCCCAGGTGAAATGCCTTGTTACTGTAGATGTACTGCCTCTGGTTTTAGTTCACTCAGCACTAGCTGAGGTGAGGTGCATGGCACTGCATTGCTGTACAGATATAGCCTTAGTGACTCATAGAAAACACGCAGGTTACAAGATGAGAGCTCAAGTAAATCTGCTGGCACACATTCACTTACTGTGTGATTAGCCTGTTAATTATGCCATAAACAGTAACCCTCCTAGGTAGGGTTTGTAATCATGTGACAAGAACAGGAAAACAGCCAAAAAAATATACCAGAAAAAGCTGATTTTGTTGTTGGTTTCCATCGTGCCTTAAACTGAATGTGTGGCAGATAGCCTTGCCATATAGCCCAATGGTGGCTGTAGGGCAGGGCTTGGTGGACAGCTCTTCCATGTTGGCAGGCTGAGAGCCCTGAGGTGTAGCCCCATGGCTATCTATAACCCAGCAGATTTGACTGTATCAAACCACAGTGCCCAGGGTGCTGTAGAACAAGGCACTTGACACTTCCCAGCCATGGGGACCCTGGGACTGGGGAAGAGGTCCCTGATCCCAGGGTTTTTGTATACCAGAACCTTTAAAAATTGCGTACAGCCAGAGAATGGAGACACCACAGTCATGGATCCTGGAGCTCCAGCACGCCGGGACCTTAAAAAAAACCTTATAAACAGCTGGGTTGCACACAAATTTTCTGACATTGGTGTACAGGGCTCTGGGTCCTGAGGCTGGTCCCAACTATCAGCTGCCCCAGGACTGTGCCAGTTCATGCCAGGCTGCAGACTACCAGCTTTCAATGTGATCCAGGGCTCCCCTGCACTGACATATAGAAATGGAATGAGTGGGATCTGATCTAATCACAAAATTGCACATCCTGCCATACACATGTGCATGCATCATGCCATTAAATAAACATGTGCTAGGGCCTAAGAGAGCACTACAACTTAAGAAACAGTTAGGGAAGATGATAAAAAGTAGGGACAAGAAGTCACCCAGGGAGGTGGAAACAGAATGTATTAGATGCAGGTAACGGCGAATACTGACAGTATTCAAGTGGAAAAAAGGTTAGACTGACACATGAAGGAAATGAAAAGCAGAGAAGTAACCACACTAAGATGGTTCTGTAGAACTTTTTGCTTCGGGAGAAGACAGAAACACACAAGGAGAATAAGATCATAGAAAGGAGATAAACAGGACAATTTATTTCCCTCTAAAGCATGCAGTAGTGGGTGTGGTTCCATGAGATACTACTGTGCAGTGGTTACTACACATTTATTTAGTACTTGCAGAATCAATTACTAAATAAATGTGCAGTAACCATGGTTACTACGCAGTAGTGCCAGCAAATGCCTTTTAAGTGATACTACTGTGCAGTAACCTAATAATACTGCACAGTAGTGTATCAGCACTGTTGGTGCTGTGACACACTACTAGTGTACTATTATTCACCTACTGCACAGTTAGCGTCTTATATAGACACGCCCAGTGAACAGTTAATGTGACAGCTCACGCTAATATTTCATTCTAACTCCAATAAGTTTAATAAAAATCAATGCCCTGGGGCATGATTTGGTTTAACCAATTTTTAGTGGCTCAATACAAAGTAAAATTACTTCCATCCACTGTACTAACCAGCAGTTTCAACAGAAGTTGAAAAGGTTAAAGGAGAGTTGGGTTTTGATTCTGAGTCACTGAAGCACAGTACAAGCCCTGTTATCTAGCACGCATGCAGCGTGGTGGGGTGCCAGATATCTAGAAAGTCTGGTTACCTGAGGCTGGCTGTTTTCCGCCGGATGTGGAGCAGGGGGGAAAGAGGGTAGCGGCAGCCAGATCTGGAGCAGCGCAGGGTGGACATTTCAGCCAGATGCAGAGCAGCAGCAGCGCAGGGTGGTAGGTGGCAGCGGCAGCCACCGCATGCAAGCTTCCCCCCGTCTCCCCACATCCAGCCAGTTGGCCGTAATTAATAGAGCATTCCGGTTAGTAAAATGCCGGATAACAGGGCTTTTACTGTAAGTAGAAACTTTGTAATGCCTTCAGTGGGAGATGGACCACATTCATTACCTAGCTCTATTTATTAAAAGCACTCGTGATGAGGACTATGTACGTTTGTTTTTTCCAAGTAACTGACATGAATTCTCTACAACACCAATTTATACATAATATAAATTGGTCCCATTGTTAACCAACTAAAACATTGCGTGTTTTGGCAAATCTGGAGGTTCAAATCTACAGACTAGAAGTTCCTGCTTTTTTTGGTACTAAATATGCATACTTACTAATTACAATAAATTATGAAATGCATGGTAATGCAATGCAATAATGTTATTTAATTGACTATTTTGCATCTAGGAGGCGAGGTAAGTCATTCTCTCATCCATGGCAATGTTACAAACCACATCATTCAAAACTATATGCACAAATCAGTTTTAAAACTGTGAACAACAATGGAATTAAAATAAATACTATGCATTACATGAAGGTCTTGTGCACTAATGCTACATATGCTTTGAGCACACATATACATTGGTAAAATGTAATCTGGGCTAAAACACAATGATTAGGAACCTCCCTAAATTGTGGCAGAAATTCATGGCGCAGCAGCGCCTTTAATCTTGCTCTTTTCACATGCTACTCCCCACCCCCACAAATGCTGAATGGCCGAGAGGCAATTAATGCTGTGGTTTTTCCCTCTTGGTCACTCAGCAGCCACAATGAGGTGAGGGGCTTGTGGCAAAAAAAAAAAAAAAAAAAAAAAAAAAAAAAAAAAAATTAAAGGTAAGGTTAAAGGCACTGCTGCACTGTGAACTTCTGCCACAATTTAGATAGGTCGCTAGCAGTGATATTTCAGAATAAATTTGTTTGTTAACATTTTGCCCTGGCAACTCAGTTACCCTGATTAGACATGTATTCCTAGAAAAGAAGACATTTATGCAACTCCAATATTATTAGGAAAAAGAAGATATCTAAATGCATTTCAGTGTTTTGCTTATCCTATTAAATGAGTTTATACAGGTGACAAAAACGAGTGTAAGGTTCATATTAAGTGCAACAAGTTAATTTTAATTCCAATTTCTTCTTTTCATTCACTCAAAACTTACAGGAATGAAAAAAACTACTGAAATAATGTAATTTAAAGGGATTTTTCTTCTTTTGCAACCTTAGCTCAGAAAACTTGGATCTGGATTTCGTTTTTACAAACGTGAACAAGAATTGTGTACAATAAAAATCCCTAACCAAATTAAAAGAACTCAAAAAGTAAAAACAATGCATTTGCCCAAATATTTGAAACTAGCTATACCAGAGCTTAAATATGATCGTTCCAACAATATAATGATAACTCTAAAAAAATATGATCAGCTGCAATACTTTTGTTGCAGTATATATAATACTGGAATGTTTGATCAGGTCACTTTTTAACATTTTCTTTTACAGTTCTGATAAGACAGCAGGAGACTAAGACCGAATACATTAGAATGCAAATTTTCAGAAACATGTGCAAGCATGTGTATGACTAATTTGTGTGTGCAAATGGCTAGTTACATGCAATTGGTAATCTAAGCACAAATTAGGACTCTGATCCAGCAAACACATGACTACTTTATGCAAGTAGTTCCATTCTGTGCACCATGCATAAATTTTTGCAGGATTGCAGATCTAGGTATGTAATTGCTCATATTTTTGTGAAAATTTAGACCTGCTTGATGTAAAAGGAAAGCTCTGTTTCATTCTTTATTCCTCTTCTTGAGTCCATACAAATGAATGTTTTTGTACATGTGAAAAATAATAATGGGGCAATAGAATTATCAAATTAAAGGAAGTTTGATTATAAAACAGAATTTGGTGCATAAGAGTGCAAAAAATATGTATTTATTAAACACTGTGTAAATTAAAACAGCAAATGATTTTTTAAAGTACTCCAGGACTAACACCTTATAGAGCAATTTTGTCCAAAAAAGTGAATATAAAAACCAAGTTTGTAATGCAAACACTAACAACCTTATACAAGCAAGGTGCTAGCAGGCACTGCTATTCTATATTATTCACAGAGTAATTAGAACCAAATTCTGATCCTACTTGAAATTAATATTTATGTAAATTTGATCAGAATCTAGCTCCAGATGTAAGCCAACTTGACATCATATTTAGAAGTCAAAAACAACAGAAACCCCTTTTCTGTATAAATATAGATCATAAATAAAATACATATAGATAACAAAATATTCATTACAACAGCAGCTCAATGGTCTATTATAGAAGCAAGCACTAAAATAATACCTTGTTAGACAGAATACTTAAGCTGTTTCATTTGATTGCACAGTAAATCTAAACAGTGCTACAAGAGCCATTTAATAACGCGATACACTTCCTCAATGATTTAAGCGTGTCATAAAATCTGTATATCTTTAGCAATGAAAGTCAGTAGAAATTTTTTGATGCAAAAAGGAATAAATAAATAAAAATTGTTAAATATCCAATGTTTGGTACAAATGCTTCATATTAAGATAAGTTACTTTTTATATATTTGTTTAGAAAAATACACTAGATATTTCTACTTTCATTGGCTAAAAATAAGGACCAGATAATTTATAACCTTGTGGTTTTAAAGGCAGGAAATATTAATTACCATCAAGCTGATATAACAACCCACTAGCATGCTTATGCCACAGTCCTTTTATTAGGTAAAATTCCCATTCCAGTGGAACTATGGAGTACACAAGGACTACGAGATCAGGTCCCAGGTTTGTACAAACAACCAATTGGTCCATGGCACAAGTTACATTTTCTGCCCAAAATCTGAAACCTTTTTTCCAAGGTTTCTAATCACAGGCTTACTTAAGATGTCAATCAGACCTTCACACTTTTTAAAAGAGCTAAATTTACAAATGAAGATGTTTTTCTGTTAAACCATCATTTGTTCAAAAAACAAAACAAAAAAAAAACCACAAAAAAAGAGCAACCACACATTCAAACTGTGAAGTATTAGGAAAATACTCTTGCAAATAAACGATATAAAGATAAAATACACTTTGAAGTTAGTTTTTACATTTATCTATAAAGTGCAGAGAAATCCTTCTAAAAGGGAAAGAACTACTTCCTATAACAATAATATAATTACAGCAGCTTTTGCATAGCATTACTTAAAGAAAGTTGAATACTTCAGTTTCTTCAGGAAGAAGAGAATGCAAGAGTCTCTTCCAGTTCAGATTTTTTCATGGACACAGATTTGTTTTCTTCAGGAATGGTTGACACTGCCAAATCCCCATTGAGTGTACTTCTTGAACAGTGAGCAGATCCTATTGAGATATTGATTAGTATTTAAACTGTGACTGAAACAGCTCTGTTCAAACTGTTAGGCACTCTATTTGCTAACGTTTCATATACAACCTAATATATATTTTATCCTACGGGATGCAATATTTGCATATTGTCCATGGAGTCTCCTGAATGATTTTAGTTAATAAGGTATAGGGTAATGGATAAAGAACATTAAAGCTAGTGTAAACTCCAAGAAATCATACCACGTAATGCACAACCACTGTAAGAAATTGGTCTATGTTGTGGCCAGACAAAGTCAATATATGAAGCATGTATTAAGTATGGTGTGGCAATTTATCTTTTGTTAAAAGATTTTTCATTAACAAAATAGAAGCAGGATATGATCATTCCATGAAGACTTGATATTATTGGTATTATCTTGTTGGGGAAGAGGAGGAACTGAATCAAATGCTGAAAGATGGAGACTTTACACTGGAAAGCATGGATCTCTTTTACTTAACATGATGAAACAACTATAATGGTGCAGGTGAGATAGAAAAAGGAGTTCTCCAATAGAGAACAGAAGTAGACTGATGTTGCTCAAGGCAGCAAGATTGAGCCTGACCTAGCTATTCTGAAAGAATCCAGACTGGGTTATCCAGGGAAGCAGAAGCAGATGAGGGTCACCTAGAGTGGAATTAATTTCCGTGTCAAAAGATATGTACAGTATTGGGTGCTTCAGGAGGTTTTCAGCAATGCAGAGGCTTTCTGCTGATCCAGTACACAGAGAGAAGTTAAACTTCAAGAAAGGAGCTGCAGTATTCTTGGGCTAAGCCAGGACTAAAGGAAAAAGTAGAAGCCTTTTTTTTTTAGAGAAGTCCAAATGGAGTCAATCTGGGAGTTCTAAGGGAAAATCCATGAATGGACCTTACTTACCTCTGCGTATGGACTCAATGGTACTATGTTACAGAGAAGCATTATGTTTAGAATACAATAACACGTTATTATTTTGATTTGCTATTAGCTATGCCACATGGTTTCAGAAAAATGGTCTTCTGTGCAAGAGGTGGGTAGATCATTAGCACAAACTGTTTTTTTTCAATATACCAGTTCATATTTTAAGTGGCAAATCAGCCACTAGGTAAACCAAATATTATCTTTGATATAGCATGCAGGATTCCTACATGCAATTCTTTTGGCCAATAAAGATTGCATGCTTAGATATACTCCTTTTTGGGGAAAAAGTAGTACATTCTGCAATATAAGTACTGTTACAAGTTGTACAGAAGCTGGCACTGCAAAACTGTGCTTCTCTAACAATTTACTTTTTTATGATTCAATTATAAAACAGAATTTGGTGCACAAACAATGAGAGCACAAAAACCTAAATATTAATTAAACAACTTACTTTCTGTATCTTCAAGGGGAATATCATTATAGAATTCTGTATCAGAGTATGTTCTTCTGCGTCTTTGTGATAGCCGGTGAACTGAAGAAACTGGTTCTTTTACCGAGTGACTACTCCTGCAACTTAAATAGGATCCATTAGTTCTACAAACTTGAAAACAAAAATATTATTGGGTCTATCCACTTTTAATTTAAAATAAAGGTCTATAATATGTATGTTCTACTAAACCTATATGAAAAAGGTAACTTCCATTTTGCTCTATACTCTTGAAAGTAAACTGAATGACCAGAACATTAACTGTTAGCTTGCACAGATTTTCAAGTGTGAAGACTATGGTAAGACTATGTTCTTACATTTAAAAAAAAGGAAAAAAAAAGAAAAACCTCAATTATTCAAAAGAATGAGTGTCAAATGTTTTTCATGACTCAGGAAATTGTACAAATTCTTGTAATTTCAAGAACAGAAATCTATCCCTGTGAAAACAACAGGATTACCTTTTTTTGCATAAAGTTACTTGCATTTATAGGGGTTTACAGTAAGTACACTAGATCATGGTTCTCAACCTTCTTTGTACCAGGAGCCATTTGTAAACTTCAATGGCCAATCCTGACCCAGTGCACTTCACTCTCGACCCGATGCCCCATCACCCCCAGGCCCCAGCCCCGCAGTGTGTGGGATAGAGGGTGGATGCATGGGGCAGGGTTGGGGGGGGTGGCGCACGGAGGACCCCCAAACAGCCTCTTGAAGGCTGGAACTCTGACAGCCTGCAAGGTAAAAGCTGCAGCTTCCCATATTTTTCTCCTTTAAAGTAAAATCCTTTTTTAAAGTTTGTTGATCCATTTTTTAAGTTTGCTCAAAACCCTTTCAAATATTCTTGCAACCCACTTTTGGGTCACAACCCACAGGTTGAGAAACGCTGCTCTAGATCAAGGGTCAGCAACTTACAGTCCGAAGAGTGATTTTTGTATTCTGCTCAAGAAGCTGGGAATTTCATGGTATTTCAGCAGCATGAGACTTTGCCCATGTGGTGGTCACTGGATAGCAGAGAGAAGCAACAGTTGTTAGGCAATGGGATGAAGTAGCAGGGCTGGACAGCCTGCCTTAGACCAAATTGGTCTATTTCTACTTGCTGCTCCGGAAACATTGCTGACCCCTGGTCTACATAACAATGTCATTATACATCATAAAACTTGTTTAATCAACTTAGAGAAGTTATGATAGCATCACTTGAACAAATAATCATTTCAAATTTTGTTATTTAGGAATTTGCCATAAAGCATATATCCTCTACACATCAACTGTAAAGCATATTTCAAATGCTGTAAGGATAACTGGACTGACCTAATAAGAAAATTATTTCACATTCTGAAAGCACATTTAATGGCAATTTGCATTCTTACCTGTCTGAACTGCAAGTACCAGGGTGGCTAATGGAACGTTTCATCTAAAAGGTGAAAGAAATAAGCTGTAAACTATTTCTCAGAAATATGCTTATACACATTCACTTAAACTTTGGAGGTGAGAGTGAAGGGTTGAATGATGTTATTTTAATTTAAAAATTAACTATCCAAAGTTCACTAATCTTAGTTAGGTATTTGAAATAGTAGAAAACACTTTGCACTGATGACAGTCCACCCTGATTAAAAAAAATTAGTTTACTACTCAAAAATATTATCTGGAATGTATATAGTCCATTCTGTTTTGCCTCAAAAATTATGCAAATATCTATTAGTTCATTGCTAGACTCCACTGGAAACTCAAAACATTCTTAAAGGGTGCCAGTTTAGAGTCAAAATTATACTCTAGGATTAATCCAAGAACCAAAATTCTGCCACTTGTATGTACAGAAGGACCCTGCTATTTCAGCCTGAAGGATATATACATGCCCAATAAACTGGCCCCAAATTTGAGCTGCACTGAGTAAGTCAGGGGACAGAGAGGATATAAACCAGACCCAAAGAAATGAAAGGTAAAAATGAGGTGGGCGAGGTGGGGAAGAAAAATGGGCCCTTGATCAGACTACTTATTAGATTCCACATGAGTAAAGGTTTAAAATAATCTCCACATACTACAACCTGCACAAAAGAAATAAATACATCAAGGAGTTTTTTTTCCCCTGTGTGTTGAAATTTACACATCATTTGACAAATCTGTTTTGGTTAATTAGGGGTATCTCTGTTTAAGCAACTATTAGATTTCTCAAACGATGCAAGAATTACTCCAAATAAAGAGAATTTGGTCTCAAAACAATGCTCTCTCTTGACAGGAGGTGAAGTGAGCATTAAAAGGTCCAAAGCTTTAGGATACTAGTGGTATATGGTCCAGGATAATTAAAGCAAAGCATCGACACTACATGCAAAGTATTAAGCACTGATCCAGTAGTTACACGTGATTAGCAATGCCATGTTCCACATGATACTTAATCAGTACATGCTTTATATTTAGAACTATCAGCTTCAATGGAGCCAGAACTGCCAATAGCCTTTTAGAATAAAAGAATAAACCCAATAAAAATATGCTTTAAACATTTACTAAGTTATAAAAAATGTATAGACCATTTGAACAGGTGAAGGTGACACAGGAGAAACTAAAGGATCAGGATGAGGCAGTTGAAACATCTCTGGCTTAAACTTGGAATTTGCTATCTTCACACATTCTTCAAGTGTTGTAATAAACGTATTACATGTAGCACTGAGTAAGGAAGAAGCTTCGTTCATGTTCTGAAAACCAATTAAAGGGACAAGCATCAGCAAAAATTTTAAAAAAGAAAAAAAGACAAATACCAAAAACATTACTTGAGAACCAAGTTGTAGTGGTGTTCAAGTGCTGTAGCTGTGATGGTCCAGAAAATGAACAAGGCAAGGGTTTTTATTGTAATATATCTTTTTACTGAACAAAGCTATAAAGTTGTAAGAAGTTTTACAAGTTTTCAGGCACACACATCTGAAGAAAGGCAAAGCATGCTCCAAACCTTGTCAAACTTCTCTCCCAACGGTGCAATTGGTCCAAATAAAGATATCACAAAAGACCCTGTTTTTAGATTTTCAAATTACTTGTCCAGAGCTCTCTCCAATGTGCAAATTGGTTTACAATACTTTTCACTGGAAACGTAAGTCAACCTTATTGAAAACTGAACTCTTAAGCAGGTCATATTTGTTTCTAGGTAAATAAATACACCAGGGCAAGCATTTTCTTTCGGAGGTTTAGCATCATGTAGCAAAAACACTGCAGTGTTGTTCATGCTTCCCAAAGTGAAAGCAATGATCTGCCAGAAGTGTAGGACACCTGTAGCTCCTTCCACAGTGATAGGTTATAAGTAAATTAAAGCAAAGCTGCACAAGACCCATCGCCTCTCCTAGTGCAGGGACTCTTTAGATAAAATTTGCTTTTTCTGTAAGCAGGCACAGCGCTGTAAGACTGAATTTGGTTCTATAAGTAGAATATCCCCCGCACCCCTCAATGTGCTGGTAAAGGAGCAATAGAATCTAATGCGTGATCTACACAATCATGCCTCCTGCCATGTCACACAGCCCTTAACTCTGATGCAGAGGAAGCTTGGGATCACAATCCAAGGCTTCCCACACAAGCCCCCACACCTCAGGAGGCGCAGAGCAGGGGCAAAGTTCTTCCCACTGCTGTGAGCCGCACAGCTGCAGGGCTCCCAGAGGGAACACTGCTGCAGCTGCAAGCCCTACAGCTCAGGAGACCCACAGCAGTTGGGACATTCTTCCTGCTGCCCTGCGGCAAGCCCTGCAACCAAGGAGTCTCACAGGAGGGGCAGCATACTGCCTGCTGCAAGCCCCACAGCTGACAAGGCTTCACATTGTCAGCTGTGGGGCTGTGGCCGAGAGCCCCTCAATGAATGGGGTTGCCAGCTACAGACCTGGCCACATGTTCAATTAATGGTATGATTAGAACAAACTTATGCAATATTTTTTGTGGAATAACTTTGTAGCTTATTGCTTGTTTTATCACCCCAATAACTGGTTGTGTAGTTGGGTTACAATTTAAAGAATGATTAAGTGGTTAGTCAAGCCTTAAGTGTAACATGTAGAAGGGACCTTATAGGAGCAAATAGATTTCTCAGTTTTTTTCTGTTTTGTTTGCTTTGTTTAAGTGGATGACTCACAAAACAACCCTCCCCCCCAAAAATACCCACCATATGTGCTTGTTAATGTACATGCTAATTAAATTAATCTGTATTTTACATACATAGCATCTGTTAATGGTGTGCTGTACTGCGATGTACCTAAACTTAATATATTGACATCTGAGTATAAATAATATTTAAAACAATTAGGAAACTGACCTTTGGTCCTCCCCATCACAACATTAATGTGCTTGTAAAGTACACAGTGTTAACAAGAATCTAAGACAAGTTAAATAATCTAATGCCTTAGGATCATTTTAGAAATGGGATACCTCAATGCTGGGAGAGGAGCAAGTCTCATCCTGATGCACAAATTCTTGTATTGTATGAACTTGACGCATTAAGAGATCACAGTAGAGGCGAAGTTCAGACATTTTGGTTTTAAGAGATTCATTGGTTTCACTAATTTCTACAAAAAAAAATTCAATATATTGACTACAGTATAAAACCAATCTGAACATTATTAGATTTCCCCCCTCTCCAAAAAAGCCAAGCAGAGATTCCTTTTGAGGTTCCTAAATAAAAGTAAAAACTAGTTTTACAAGTAAAATTAAAATTGAGGTGGGACTATAACCCACAGATAAGAGGTGAAAAGCTTTCTTAATTACAATGCAACACGGGGGAACAAGGAAGACAAAGTCTGTAGCTTCACATAGTAAGGGGTTCTGCTTTCATACATCCACAAGTGCCTGAAGAGTGTGGTTGCCAGCTCAGAGAATCTAGTATCTGATAAAAGGACGACGTATTTTAACCCCTCAGATTGACTGCACAGCATTCAACACCTCCATGACAAGTATACAGAGACACAATTAGAGACTGAAAAAAAAAAATTCAGGACACTGAAAGGAAACCAAATATTTTCACAGCAACATGAAACAGTTTTCAGGGTGGCAGTTTTTGAGACCGTTCTAACTAGCTCTCAGAAACAAAAATTTTCTAACGAAGCAACAGAAATAACATGTTTTCTTCCATCATGAAATCTGCATGTTTTTCATATAAATTTCCTATGCTGCCCACCTTAGCTTTGGAAACAGCATTAATACATGATGCAATAGTTCCACCTGACTGGATCCAATTTAAGGGCATAGTTCTCATCCTCTTGTAGCCTTTCTGCAGTTCTGAACTACATCATAACACTCACTAGAACTACATTTGTTTTAATATTGATAGCAGCTCTAGTTTAGACAAGTCCCCAGCAGCTTCTAGCTTTTTTCTCACCATACATACCAGTTACACCTGCAGCTCAGAATTAAACAAAGGAATAAAAATACATGAGGATAGGTCCTTGTCTAAGTTCCCATCAGTACCAACAATGGCTCAGCTAAACCAGAGTAAGTAGTTGGAAATATTTTTTCTAAAAAAATGTCATAGCACGGACAGCAATACTTAAAGGAGTAGAGACATTAGAAACAGAGCTGTTCTCAGTCTCAGCAGGACTGTGTCCGTCACTTATAAGAGTGGAAAACAGGGAAATGAGCTGAAACTATTGTAATTTCCTTGCACTTTTGCAGCTTGTATTATCAGACATCCTGCACTGGTAAGCATGGGTAAATGGACCACTACAGTGCAAATCTGGGTGCTCATTCAGTCTATATTAAATGGGACAATACGGTATAAACACACAGAATGTTTCAACAGAAAGGACAGAAGCATATGATTTATCCCTAACTTTAAGAGCTCTAGACAGTATTCCTAATGTGGAAGATCCCCCTTGACACAAGGGAATTAGAAATTTGGAATACCATTACAATGCTTATAAGAAAGTGCTATTGATGAACATTCACCCTGTGCGAACAGGCAGCTATTCGATTCAGCTTCAGATCCGGCCACTTCGGATGCCAGGGATCCGATCCAGAGCTCCAGATCGGTTTCCTGCTTCAATTCGGCCGAAGCGACTCCGAAGCTTTGGAGCTGCTTCAGAGATTCAGCCATAGGGTATAATGGGGAAATCAATGAAATATCTATAACTTTGTTGTTTTTTGTCTGATTTGGATGAAACTTGCAGGGGTGGTAGCCACCACTGAGAGCATGAAGCCTGCCAAGTTTCAAGGAGATAAGTGCAGGTGTTTGGGGGGAACTGCACCCCAAATTCTTGAAAGTAAAACTTATGTCACATGTATGTGTTACACCACAGGGGGGTGAAAACTGCAAAGGTGTTAGCCCCGGGTGAGGCCACAAAGCCTGCCAAGTTTCAAAGAGACAGGTGCAGGGGTTTGTGGCAAACTGCACCTCAAGCTGCTGACAGGCAAAGCTCATGACATAGATGACTCTGTGTGTGTTAAGGCACAGCGGGCTGAAAACTGCAGAGGTGGTGGCCTCTGCTGAGGCCATGAAGCCTGCCAGCTGTCAAGGATATAGGTGCAGGGGCTTCTGGGGCCCTGCACCTCTAGCTGCTGACAGGCAAAACTGGTGACATGGGTGCTTGTGCAACTGACTGTCTCCGTCTTGGGGCAGTTGATTGTCTGTATTATTTCCTCCCCTTTGTCTGTGGCTTTGTAGGTGTTAATCCTTGCTAATTAACTTTTTATCTAGTAGCTACCAGTACAGGGGTGGGAAAAATGCGGTCCACGGGTCAGATGCAGCCCGCCAGGCCATTCTACCTGGCCCGTGGGGCCCCTAAAAAATTTATAAAATTAATATTTATCTGCCCCTGGCTGTCTGTTATGTGGCCCTCAAAGGCTTGCCAAAACTCAGTAAGTGGCCCTCTGCCTGAAATAATTGCCTGCCCTTGTACTAGTAGCTAGCTACTGTGAATTGAGCTGGTCCCTGACTGAATCATGATTGATTGGTAACACAGTAGCTTAGCAGCCAGGCCTGCAGTAGTTCCCCACCCCATGCCCCAAGACAGACACAGTTGCACAAGCACCCATGTCACGAGTTTTGCCTGTCAGCAGCTAGAGGTGCAGGGCCCCAGAACCCCTGCACCTATCTCCTTGACAGCTGGCAAGGGCCACCACCTCCGCAGTTTCCAGCCCACTGCGCCTTAACACACAGGTTTTGCCTGTCCGCAGCTTGAGGTGCAGTTCCCCCCAAACACCTGCACCTATCTTCTTAAAACTTGGCAGGCTTCGTGGCCTCAGCAGGGGCCACTACCCCTGCAAGTTTCATCCAAATCAGACAAAAAACAACAAACTTATAGGTATTTCATTGATTCCCCATTATACCCTATGGCTGGATCTCAAAAGCAGCTCCGAAGCGGTTCGGAAGGTCCGAACCACTTCAGAAAGCCTAAAGAAGCCAGCACTTCGATCTAGATGTGCTGCTCCAGTGTCCAAAGCATCTGAATCTTCTCTGGATCCGAAGCGTGGTCCGAAGCCTAGCACAGACCTAATGAATATAGCAACTTGGTTTTTCAAAGTATATTGGAATTAGACATATCAATCCCAGTAACCTCACTTTAAAACCCTTGCCAATCTCTGTAAAACTTTTAATCAGTTACGTAACTGAAGACAGATATGCAGACTTAGCTGGTGCAAACTGAAATACTTCTGAAGTCAATGGATTTATATAGATTTATACAGGCTGTGGATATAGTCTGCAGCATTTTAAAAAGCAACATTGCCTGCTCCTGCTATAGCAGAATCCTAGAAAAGTCTGGCCTGTGGGCTGGATCCAGCCAGCAATGGACTCTATTTCCCAGCAGGCCCTGCCCGCATGGCTGGGGCCAGTCTCCATGAAGACCCCAGCCACAGCTGCCTGTGATAGCATCACTCTGGGGTTGCCATGGAGACTGGCCACAGCCATGCTGGCAATGCTGGGCAGGGGGCCGCTCCAGAGCCACTGGGATCTTGTGGCGGGGGTAGCTTGGTCCAGGGCCAGGGCAGAGCCACAATCTGCAACCTGCATGCTCTGGGCAGGGGCATGCAGGTGGCAGATCGTGGCTCTGCCCCTGCTTGGGACCATGCCATCACCACTACAAGGAGTTAGGGCAGAGCCACAATCTGCAGCCTGCAGGCAGGGGCACGCAGGCAGCAGGTTGTGGCTCTGCCCTGGCCCCAAGCCAAGCTGCCCCCACCACAGGATCCCAGCAGCTCAGAGCAGCCCCTGCCCTGCCGCACCCCCTGCCAGAGCAGCTGGGGCTAGTCTCCATGGCAACCCCAGCCTTGCTAAAGTCACAGAGCAGCTGAAGTTGGGGTCTCCATGGAGACCGGCCCCAGCCACACAGGCAGGGACTGCTGGGAAATGCAGTCCGGCTGCCAAACAGATCTGCCATTTTGCCCATACCTGTGCTAAAGCCAATGGGGTGTAAATCTGAACATAGTACAAACTCAAACCAGAGAGGAATTAGGTAACCACCAGTGTAATAAAACATGCAAGTAGGAAAGTAAATGCTCAAGGCCATTATTCATGAGCAGCACAAAAAGGATGTGTCCTGGCTAGTGCCACTATTGCATGTTCTATTAATATCTCCATACTCACATCTCTTTTTGCCTTACCACTGAATCACCTTCCATTAGAAACTGACAGAGTACTGAAGAGACCCTGAGATCAGTAAAATACAGTAATTCAGAGAGCAATCACAATTGTGAGATATTTAACTCACCCTCTCTCATGTTTGTAGTACTATATTCAATAACATTGAATAAAATATAGTGCTGTTTCAATATGATGTGCGTTGTTTAGTTCAAATTAATTCAGGCACATATAAAGGAAAGGGAACATACAAAACAGAGCAATACAGTAACAGTATTTTTTTCTTAATGCAAGTGACATCTGACCAGTTGTTTTCCTGTTCCTTTTAAGAAATTCCAGCTTCAAATACAAAACAGGAAGTTTCTATATACACGTATCAGTGGTTGTATTGGTAACTTATATTTATCAATATGTAAAATAAATTAGATTTATAATATACTTAAAAAGAAGGCTGAATTAGGCTGGGACAGATTAAGAACCATTTTCGCTGAGCACAAGCATTTTATTAGATTTCACATACTTCACAGGGTATAAATACCTTTTTCTTTTTTTGTTCTGGTATCTGTCAAACAGGCTTTAGAACTCCCAAGTGCTACTAGCCATCTTTGTCTTTCAGCTGCATTAACTGCTTTCATATAAAAATGTTGTTCCCCTGGAATTATTAGCTCCATTCTTGTGTTGTCTGTTGGATGAACTTATATAAAAGGAGGGAAAAAAAGCAATTTTGCTAAGAATAACTAGAAATCAAGGATACACTTTATCAAACGTAGACTGTATTACTTCAAGCTATTAGAATCAAATTATATATTATAAAGTACATTGTACTGGATCTAATTAAAACTGAAACTATTAAAACATTTTTAATACCACGTGACTTTGATGCTCAGAAACATTAAATCTTGCTCTTTTTGTCAAACCCTCCCCCCGCCCACCCCAATGCCACTGAGTGGCCAAGAGGCAAAAACCACAGCATGAATTGCCTCTCGGCCACTCAGCAGCAGGGAGAGGGTGCGTAGCAAAAAGTGAGATTAAAGGCACTGGTGCACCATGAACTTCCGCCACAATTTAGGTAGGTCCCCAAGTATAAGAGTATTGCTCAGCCATGCAGAGATGAACTCAAGAAGGCTAAAGCACAACTGGGTCGCACCTAGCAAGGGACATGCAGGGTATCATAGTACTTAGGGTCAGAAGGGATCTAAACAGATCATCAGGTCCGACCCACTGCCCCAGGCAGGAATGGGTGCCAGGATCATATCACCCCAGCCAAATATCTGTCCAGCCTCCTCTTAAAGACCCTTGAGGTAGGAGAGAGTACCACCTCACTTGGGCGTCCATTCCAGAGCCTGGCAGACCTAACAGTAAAGTAAGAGCTTCTACAAGTATGTCAGCAACAGGAGGAATATCAGGGAACGTGTGGGTCCCTTACTGAATGAAGGAGGCAACTAGTGATAGATGATGTGGAAAAGGCTGAAGTACTCAATGCTTTTTTTGCCTTAAATCTTCACAGTTAAGGTCAGCTCCCAGACTACTGCACCTTGTATGACAGTTTGGGGAGGTGGTGAGCATCCAACAGTGGCAAAAGAACAGGTTAGAGACTATTCAGAATAGCTAGACACAAGTCCATGGAGCCAGACACGATGCACCCAAGAGAGCTGAGGGAGTTGACTGATGTGATTGCAGAGCTGCTGGCCATTATCTTTGAAAACTCCTGATAATCAGGGGAGGTTCCAAACTACTACAGAAGGGCAAATATAGTGCTCCCCTTTAGAAGGGGGAAAATGGAGGATCCAGGGAACAAAAGACTGGTCAGCCTCACCTCAGTCCCTGGAAAAATCATGGAGCAGGTCCTCAAGGAATCCATTTCTAAGCCCTTCGAAGAGAAGGTGATTAGGAACAGTCAGCATGGATTCACTATGGGCAAGTCAGGACTGGCTATCTGGACCCTAACTTTAGCAAGGCTTTTGATATGGTCTCCTACAACATTTGTGCAAGCAAGCTAAGGAAATATGAACAGACTGTAAAATGGATAGAAAACTGGCTGGATTTTCAGGCTAAAAGGGTAGTAATCGATGGCTCAATATCTAGTTACCAGCCAGTCTCAAGTAGAGTGCCCCCAGGGTCAGCCCGGGGGCCCATTTTGTTCAATATCTTCATGAACCACCTGGAAGATGGGCTGGAGTACACCCTCAGCAAGGTGTACAGATGACACCATGCTGGGGGAAGTAGTAGATACATTGGACGGTAGGGCTAGGATTCAGATAGACCTAGACAATTGGATGACTGGACCAAAAGAAATCTCATGAGGTTCAACAAGGACAACTGCAAAGTTCTGCATTTAGGACGGAGAGATCCCAAACACCGGGACAGGCTAGGGACTGACTGGCTAAGTAGCAGCTCTGCAGGAAAGGATCTGAGACTTGTATTCAGTTTACTGTTCACTGTAAGTCAAGTGTGCCCTTGTTGCCAAAACTAACAGCACACTGGGCTGCATTAGTAGAAGTGCTGCCATCAGATTAAGGGAAGTGCTTATTCCCCCCTATTCAGTACTGGTAAGGCCACAGCTGCAGTACTCCGAGTCCAGCTTTAGGCCCCTCCCCCCCCACAGGAAGGATGTGGACACAAAAATTGGAGAGTCCAGTTGAGGGCAATGAAAATGGTTAGAGGACTGGGGCATATGATGCATGAGAGGCTGAGGAACTGGGATTATTTAATCTGGAGAACAGAAGACTGAAGGGAGAACTAATAGCAGCCATCAACTACCTGAAGGGTGTTTACAAAGAAGATGAAGCCAGACTGGCCTCAGTGGTAGCAGATATCGGAACAAGGAGCAACGGTCTCAAGTTGCAGCAAGGTAAATTTAGGTTAGGTATTAGGAGAAACTCTCTCAGTAGAAGGGTAGTAAAACAATGGACAGGGCTACCCAGACAGATTGCAGAATCTCCATCCGTGGAGGTTTTTAAGTACCACCAGCTAGACAAAGCCTTAGCTGGGATCTAGTTGAGAAGGGTCCTGCTTTGAGGAAGAGGGGCGAGGAGGGGGCTGGACTAAACTCCTGAGGTCCCCTCCAACCTTAACGTTCAATCTGCTATTGAATCATTGAATGTAACAAGCACATCTAACAAAAAGTCATTTTCCTCTTTCATTTTTGTGGGCATCACAGGAATTAATGATATAGAATGATATTAGGTCATCCTGTCCATCCATGTGACAATTATTATTTCCTCCAGTAGAAATCTATTCAAATCTTACCTTTAATTTCACATACTGCCATCTTTATGCTTCCTTTGCTACCTTTGCAAACATCATCTTGTGAATCATAGTACGACAAAATCCCATTGTCCAAAACAAACCAGCGAGGCTGCCAACCTAGGAAGATCAAAAACATGAAAAAGTGTTTGTATAATTGCAAATAAGGTTCAATTAAGAAGTAATGGTACTTACCCATTAAAGCTGTTAACAGAAAAAAATTACAAATATGCATGTACTGTGCTATTCCTGTGATGCTCACAAGAAGTAAAAAACCCAAAACAAAACAAAAACTTTTAGAAACCATGAAAGTTATTTCACCCTTACTCCTTTTGCTACATACAATTAGCAATGATATTTCACCTTTTACAATCCATTCTTTAGAAAAGTGAATTTTATTTCAGCACCCACTGTATTTTGAAGGCTTACATGTTATTTCTCTCTCAAAAACCATCATATTTCAAGTATATTCTTCAGTGGGCCTCACCAAGATCATGATCAACTGATCTAATGAACTGCTGGCTAGTCTCCTCCACATACAGAACAATACAGATCTCTATTTTGCACTTGACAATTAAGAAAACCAATTACATAATTCTCTCATCCACAAGTAGCCCATCCCACTTCTCAGCAATGATTTAATATCACAACAACATACTGGGGACTTCAAATAGGCCCTAATAAAGAAAACTTGTACTAAGCAGCATTCATTGTCAGTAGGGCCTGCACCAGTCACCACATTCAAAGTTTTCACTGATACAGCTACACCAAAACTTTTAGGCTAGGGACAGATATTACACACAAACTGGTTTAAGTGATCAGAAACCAGTTTAAACCTGTAACAGAACAGATGTTCAGTGCATATAAACCAGTTTGAAAATGGCTGAAACTGGTTTGAGATAAACCTGGTTGAATGTAGTATCAAACTTAGCTGATTTGGCAAAAAATGGTTTATGCAATGTCTGTCCTAGACCCCTTGCCGATTTAAAATAAACCAGACACCTCCAGCTTCCCAGCATGCTCTCTGGGCTGGGCTCTCTGCTCCACAGCAGGACTGGCCCCTCCCCTCTGCTCCCTGGCTACAGCTCTGGCACAGACTGCAGGCACATGCCCCCCACCCATGTCCCACAGCACGGACCCCAAGACCCACGGACCCTAGGCACATGGTATGCTAGTTAATACTGAGAGGTGTCTGTGTGTTTATACAATTTCACTGGGACAGGCAGACAGAACAGTGACCACTTAAGGCTTTTTGATCAACAGGTCAGCTGGTAAGCTGTTTGAGTCTGAACTAATGGAGAGAGGCTATTGTTTTGCTGATGGGGTGATGAACACTGTTATCAGCCCCCTGCTGGCTTCCCTGCCTGTCAGTTTGCTGCATACAGTATAAAGAAGCAGGGAGGAAGATTGAAAAGCTCCGTATCACCAGCAGATGCATGCACTACACACCCTCTTGCCTCAGAGTGCTAGCAGGGGGCTGGCAACACTCCTGCCTCTTGAGCAGCCAGCAGGTAAAAGCCTGGAATGGTGCAGGCAGACCTCCCTAATCAGAGGTCCTGGCCACATCCCCCCTCAGCTCAGTGCTGTGCAAGGGAAGTTAGGGCTGCTCTAGCACCCCCTGGCTTCTAGCTTGAGCCACTGTAGACATGTGCCTGAATTTCCTCAGTCCAGAGAGAATGTCTGTCCAGTTACAAACCAGTTCAGCCTAGCCAGATTAGACTAACCTGCAAAAATTGAATCAATTCAGGCTTCTGAATGTCTGTCCCTAGCTTTAAAGTTTAGACCATACTTCCATCATCAATACTTCTACAAAACATAACATAACATTAGTTAGCATAAAGTTACTAAATAACAAAAGTTAAACTACTATTATCTAATAGAGTACATGGCAGCACAGTGATTTTTTTTCCAAGCTGTTCAGGCTTGGAAAAAAACTCTTCCCCATCCTCCTCCTCCCCCCAGAGCAGCAGCAGGAGTGCAGAGCTCAGCTAGGCAGGGTGTGGGAGGTGTAGGGACCCCACAAACTCCCCCCATGGCATGCAGCCCCCACTGCCTGGCAACAGCAGCAAGGGGGGAGGTCAGAGTGCTCATGCCTGGCGCAGGCGCAGCTCCAGTCAGCACTGCATGGGGAGAGGGAGCAGAGCTTGCCTTATCCCCGCGACTGCTCCCTGAGCCTGCAGCTCCAGTCCTTGCAGCAAGGAAAGCCCTGCACTGGAGCCCCACCCCCTGCTTTCCCTATGAGTGTGGAGATGCAGGCATGTGGCACAGAGCCACAACAGAGGCAGCCAGCGCTGCACTGGGGGCAATAAGCATAGTCCTGTTCAGTCTGGCCAGCCACTTCTATCCCCGGGGTTCCATGCTGCATGCCTACAGCTCCATACTCGCAGAGGGGAAGCCCCGAGCTGGAGTCCACACAGAAGCAGGGGTCCCTCCACTCCCAACAGAGTGTGGGGACCTGCATGACCGGGAGTGGGGGAAGCAGCTGGCTCCAGTGTGGGGCTTCCCCCACCACGAGTGCGCGCGCAGCCAAGGGGATAAGGCAGGCTCCACTCCCTCCCCTGTGCAGCACTGGCTGGAGCTGTGCCTGTGCCAGGCATGAGTGCCCCGACCTCCCCACCTGCTGCTGCTGCCAGGCCATGGGGGGAGTGTGGGGGTCCTTACACCCCCACCCTTCCTCCCTCACACACCACACACCCACAACCAGCCCTGCTAAGCTCTGCGCTCCTGCTGCCCCTCCAGGGAGAAGAGCAGGAGGAGGGGGAAGAGTCCCCCCCCCCAGCATGGAACAGAGCCTCCCCCGTCCACCCCCACCCCTGCTCTGGGCCCAGGCAGCATCACATGGAGCCCCCCAGCAGCGCGCGTGGGGGGGGGGGGGGGGGAAGGGGAGGAGGAGGAGGAAGAGTCCCCATCCAGCACTTCACAGAGTCCCCTTCCCCACCCTAGGAGGAGGGAGAAAGAGTCCCCCCAGCATAGAACAGAGTCCCCCTCCCCACCCTGCGGGACAACCAACCCAGCATGGCCCCATTAAGGTGAAGGGGGCAGGGAGAAGGGTTAATTCCTCCTTCTGTCCTTTCCCTGCAGCCAGGGTCTGCCAGGTCCAGGGGCCACCACTGTGGCCCCCTCTGCTCCCTGGCAGACCAGCTGGCCCTGGCTGCAGTGAGGGAAGAGGGGAAGGAGAGAAAAATTAACCCCCTCCCTGCCTACTTTGCCTTAACAGGGTCATACTGGCTGGTGTCTCCGCTAGGGCGGGTCCCTGCTCTGGCTAGAGCGCAGAGGGGAGGGATCAGCCCTGCAGCTGGAGCAGAGAACCCCGCCCAGCCCAGAGAGCATGCTGGGATGCTGGGGGAGTCTCGTTTATCTTAAACCAGAAAGGGGTTTAGGACAGACATAACATAAACCAGTTTGAGCCAAATCAGTTACGTCTGATACTACATTCAACCAGGTTTATCTCAAAGCAGTTTTGGCCATTTTGAAACTGGTTCACTTAAACCGGTCTGCATGTAATGTCTGTCTCTACCCTCATAGACCGATTCATAAGTTCACAAGAGAGACCCTAGTCCAGCGGTCCTCAAACTCTGTAGACTCAAAGTATACCTCAGAAATTACCAGGTCTTGGTTTTCACTGATTGTTTAACTAAAGAAAAACAACAGAGCAATTTCTCTCTTGCAAAGAAGAAGTCAGAAAGACCAGGACAGGACAAAATATTTTTAACACTATGGATTCCTTTTTTAAATCTTTGGGTCTCTCTCATGAATCACTCTGCATACTTAACATTAAATGGCACTTGGTGGCATCCTTGAAAAGAGCTCAAGGCACCATGGGGTGCTGCAGCACCTTGATTGAGAATCACAGCCCTAGTCATTAATGCTAACAAGCACAGATCAACCAGATGTCAAAACAGTAGATATTTTGCAAAACAATAAAATAAACTATTCCAAGAACATCAGTTCTTTAGTACTTGAAGGACTTGTCTATAGGCATAAATGATGCATTCCATCTCAGAGCTGGGATGATCTTGCAACCTTCTAAATAGCCCCTTTCTGGTTTATATATGAATCAAATGTCAATAACTGTAACCATGAACCTCCCAGTTCAGTAAAAGGATGCAACTGTCCTTAGCATTGACAGCAGTGCTGTTCCAGAAGAGTAAACTGAAGTAATCCAATAAATATGGCTTTGAGTGCAAAAGGCTGAATCATGTACTGGACTTTGTCAATAATTAGGTAGGGGTCTGATGCTAGTTATTAGGAGTTTTATAACTGAATCAATAAGTCATTAGGAGTTTTACAACTGAATCAATAACCAGAACCAGGGCCCAATGAAGAATATCACATATCTCCTAGGTAAGTAAAAAAATGTGTAAACAGAATTTATCATATGCCCACCAGTGTATCTGCACTTTGAAATAAAAAGATCTCAGCTCAGAAATTAAAGCAGAATTAAAAATTATAAAGCAGTTATGAATATTGAGAGGAGGTTACCCATGCTAGTGGCAACTGATTTGGAACTGGAGATGAACATCATTACGTGCATTAAAAATATATAGAAACTAGCGGAAGTACCCATTCTTTGCCCGGGTTGTTATTTTTCCTTGCGCCGTTCCGCTGTTCCTTCATGACTTTGTGGCTCTTGTGCCTGCATGTCTTAAACAAATTTCTGTGAGATATTCCACCTTTTCAACATTAGTTTCTGCAGCAATTAAGGCAACATCTCTTACGCGATTGGCAGCAAGACACTCCACTGTTTCCTCATTAGTTTCTGCAGCTCTTGAGGCAGCATTTCTTATGAGTAGCAGCAAGATGCTCTGCTTTTTCTTCTTTAATTTCGGTCAGTCTTGAAGCAGTATTCCTCCTGCAATTATTCATAAGATGTAGTGCCTTCTCTTCAAAACTTTCTTGCAATCTTATATTTCACATCCTTTTCACAGCAACTTAAGTGCCACTAAGATTTGAAGTCCTTTTCCTTGGTATTTATTGTATTATCCTTTATGCCAGGGGTGTCCAACCTTTTTGAATGTGGGGCCGGATCATAAACTTTTCATCACCCAGTGAGCCGGCGAGTCATATTCAAAGACGTCACAGGAAGTGGTATCGTATCGGGAAGTGATGTCACGTGACCTTTGACACAAATGAAGTTACAGGGGTTGACATGGTCCGGGTTGACATGGCATGCATGCCCGGGTTGACATGGTACTGCAGGAACCGCTTGGCTACAACCGGGTTGACCTGGTGCTGGAGAAGCCGTGGGGCCAGGCCGGGGTTAACCTGGTGCTGCAGGACCCGTCTGGGCAGAACTGGGTCGGCACCAGCCAGGAAAAGCAGCATGCAGCTGAAGCCGGCTTCCCATGTGCTGCTGGGGACAGGAGGAGGCCGGCCAGGTCTGCACCAGTCAGCAGAAGCAGCGGAGGAGCCGTGTGCTGCTTGGAACTGACCAGTGCAGGCTCGTCCCATCCCAAGCGGCACACGGCTCCGCCACCACTTCTGCTGGCCAGTGCAGACCCAGCCGGGCTCCTCCCGTCCCCAGCAGCACATGAGAAGCGGCCCCCCTCAGGGCCTTGCACGCAGGTGGCCAGGCCCGGAGAGCAACTGGCCGAGGAAGCAGGAGCTGCCTTGCTGTGGGGCACGGCAGGGCAGCAGGGCTGGCTTGAAGTGGGCAGGTGAGGAGGCAGGCGCGGGCTGGCAGTGCCAGCAGCTGCTGCTTGGCCTCCCACATGGGGCCACTCCCATGGGCCCCGCAGGGGTAAGCAGCTCCCCCCCTGCTGCCAACTGGGGCCCATGGGCTGACCCTGCCCACCTCGCCGCTGCCCCATGGCTCCATGCTCTGCACCGCCACGGCTCTGTGCTCCGCGGCAGCGGCTCTGCACTCCACACCGCCACAGCTACACGCTCCGCAGTGGCAGCTTCACACTCCGTGGCACCACCACCGTGGCTCTGTGCTCTGCAGCGGCACCACCGCTGCCGCCGCGGGCCAGATAAAATGGCTTGGCGACCCATGTGGCGGCCCGTGGGCCATATGTTGGACAAGCCTGCTTTATGCAGAGCAAATAAATAAACAGGAAGGGGGGGTGGAGAAAAAGAAACCCTGAACCAGCAGCCAGAGGGGTATGGCTGCCAAATGGTGGAAGCAGCTTTGTTTGGAGATTTTAGGCAAGAATAAATAATAATGACAGTTGAACTGAATTCACTGCATCACTGGATTCATTGCGTTCACAAAATGGAACGGTACCAGTTTACTATCCGAGAAGCAACATAATCCCAGTCACTGGAAGCCCCAAAAAGGGTCAAGTGAAAAATAACCCACCTATAATTTTCCTCAGGTGGCATTTAGTGATTTTGGAAGGTTTAGAGTAGATAGCACCAGCCATTCTCAAGTTAAGTGAACATGCATACAGAAATACACTTCACTACGTACACATATACATACATTCCAATACAATTGCATGCAAACAGAACATGGGAGTTAAGAGAAGGAAATGCAAAAAATTTTAGTAAAGTATTAGACAGAACCTAACATACTGCCATGAACGATTAGTGCCTCCTGAACCAGGGTGGGGCACTTGCAGCAGCCAGTCAGCGACCAGGGGAGGTGAGGGAGGGGTGTCCCTTGCAGCAGATTGCGTTAACCCAGAAATGGCAGCGGCACACCTCTGACTGCAAAAGGACCACAGGGACTGCTTCTCCTGATGCTCCCACTCCCCAGCCAGCACTCTCGGGCGGGGCACCAGCATTCTCGCCTGCCCCCCTGCCTGGGAATGCTGGCTGTCAAGGGGTGGACATGCACCACCTACGTGTCACACGCGCACCCCGCCACGCTGCTTTGAAAACCACAAAAGAGCCTAATCATCAACTGAAGAGGAAGAAAGTGATAATGAGACACAGTGGGGGCAGTGATGTCTAGTTTTACCAAGTATTTTCATTAAAGATGACAACTTGGGTAAAAACATGTTAATGGAATGAACAGGGTCTCATGAACTTGGAGGTGTATCACACTGCGGCAAGAACACTTAAATGTGAGAGATTACAGGTGAGAAATAAAGGGCAGGAAATAACTAAATGAAATTCAGCTAGAAAATGTAAATAAGTATGCTGAAGAAAATTATCTCCAATACAGGTGTTTCATAGGAAGGAGAAACATGGCAAGTGGCAATTGTGAGAAAGCTATATAAGGAAAATAAAAGACTATTGTTACGAAATCTCACTACTGTGTATAGCTAAGCAGATCTGATACTTACGCCTGTCCCATACAGTTTATAATCCAATAAAGAGGAAACAAAATAATGCTAATGCTAAAACAGGGCTAATATTATCACAGCATCTGACAAAGTAAGCTGCTGCTTCCAAAAGCTTTTACCTCTCTAAATTAAGTCTATAAGAGGCATATTTTTTTGTTTTGGATTAGATGATGGTTTGCAGTAGTGTGACAGGCCATACCTGGAAAACTGCAGTTTACAAAAATGGTCTTGGAGCTGATGGGACTGATTTGAGCAAACAATAAAAGAGTTAAGTAGGAATAAAAACTGAATTTAAGGTGGCCTTTCCACTGGCCATTTCTATCGCCTTTCTATAAAGCAGCATACAAAAGGAAGAGTGAACTGAATCCATGATCTCATTACTTTCAAACTATTTCCCCCCTGCAATTTAAAGTGTTCACAGAAGAGGAAAGAAAGACAACAGAACTACTCAAGTTCATATTGCATAATAGTATTTAATTATTGCAAATTGGCTGAAGGGTCGTACTCAGAGGGTGGTGGTGGATGGGTCATATTCGACCTGGGGGGAAGTGGGCAGCGGAGTCCCGCAGGGCTCAGTCCTTGGGCCTGCACTGTTCAATTTCTTTATCAGCGATTTGGACGATGGGGTGAAAAGCAACCCGTTTAAATTTGCTGATGATACCAAAATTTGGGGTGAGGTGGGCACGCTAGTAGGGAGGGAAAGACTGCAGAAAGACCTGGAAAGGTTGCAAGGGTGGGCTAACAAAAACAGGATGCGTTTCAATACGGACAAGTGCAGGGTGTTGCACTTGGGCAGTAGTAACCAGCAGCACACTTATAAGATGGGAAACTCCCTTCTTGAGAGTGCAGAGGCAGAAAGGGATTTTGGAGTCATCATTGACTCCAAGATGAACATGGGCCGACAATGCGAGGTCACAGTCGGCAGGGCTAACCGGACCCTATTGTGCATCCACAGGTGCATCTCAAGTAGGACCAAGGAGGTGATCCTCCCCCTCTACGCGACACTGGTCAGGCCAAAGCTGGAGTACTGTGTCCAGTTCTGGGCACCCCACTTCAAGAGGGATGTGGACAACATTGAGAGGGTCCAGAGGAGGGCCACCCGCATGATCTGGGCACAGCAGACCCTACAATGAGAGGCTACGAGACCTGAACCTGTTCAGCCTTCACAAGAGAAGGCTGAGGGGGGACCTGGTGACTGTCTATAAACTCACTAGGGGGGACCAGAAGGGTTTGGGGGAGACCTTGTTTCCCCTAGCGCCCCCCAGGATAACAAGGAATAACGGCCACAAGTTGCTGGAGAGTAGGTTTAGATTAGACATCCGTAAGAGCTACTTCACAGTTAGGGTGGCTAGCATCTGGAACCAACTTCCAAGGGAACTGGTGCTGGCTCCTACCTGGGGGGTCTTTAAGAAGCGGCTTGATGCCTACTTGGCTGGGGGCATTTGAGGCCAGTTTTCCTCCGTCCCAGGCAGGGGGTCGGACTTGAAGATCTACAAGGTCCCTTCCGGCCCTACTTCTATGATTCTATGATTATTGGCAATGTTTAATCAGTGCCTTTTCTTTTTCTCCCCATGCAAGACTGTTAAAAAAAGAAACTAAGTAATTAGCTATGTTGAGCCAGTTTTTTTTTAATTTAGTTAAAAGCAATAATCATGGTTATCTGAATAAGTTGCAATCACCCGTTTTCAGTTTACCTGTCACTTAAATTGCACAGTGAAAGAACAGTCTTTCTATTTTAATCCTATAACATGTTATTTTTTTTAAAACACCCACTGGTTCTAAAATCTTATTGGAATTCTCTCTAAAGTACCATATGTCCGAAGTGAATGAATCAATGCTACAGAACGGTGTATTAACAGAAAAAGAACAATTAAAAGATTATTTTGGCAATAATAGTAGGTGCACCCCTACTACTTATCACTGTTGAAAGAAAAACCAAGGCCCAGATTCTGAAAATATTTAGAGATTTAATTTTACAATTGGACATAGTCCCACTGGCTTAAGTGAGACCACCTCCTTACATAGTTAAACATACCTGAAGAATCTGGCACTGGAGTTGGTGTCTGAAATATTAAAATACATAGAATCAGTTCCTTTAATCTGCACATTTGACAGCTTTTTGTACACTCTTTTATTAACCAGACACAGAAGATCAAGAAAGTTCAAAGATCTGTCCCAAACCTAGATGTTACCCAAAAATCACAAGGGAGAGGTATGACTAGTATCAAATGAACAAGTACCAGCCCAAATGACCAGATACTCATTTATGACTGGGTTGCCTTTGGTTCAATTATGAAGAGGGGCCCTGGGCTCATGCCTATGGATGTACAGTGACATGTTCTAATCGCTCCATCACTGCCACCATTCTCTAGTTATACTTAGAAGGGAAACAGTGAATAAGTGTTACTCTTTCACACAGCAAAAATGGAAAATAGAAACTTAAAAATGTAACTCTAAAGCCCTAAATTGAAATGGTGTCCTATAGAGCAAATGTAGTACCTTCAACTGCCTTTAAAAAAGTTAAAATCTATTTTGAAGGAGTTTTTGTTTTGTTTTGTTTTTTAAGTTTGATGGTATCTGTTAAAAATGAATTCTCTCTCAAGGACACTTCCTGCAGGAAAACTCAAGAGTGCTTATATTAATATTATTATAATGACTATACTGGTAAAGAGCCTTGTATCATGATTTTTTTTTAAATGGTAATAGAAAATAAGTACAATTTTGTTATTTAATTAAAAGTAGAAGTTTTCTCTATCCAACTAATTTAAAGACAGACATTTCCTCTATTTCTTCATGAAGAAGCAGAATAAGGATGACAACTATTTAACACTTGATAATGATATAACTTTTCTCTCACCACAGAATACAAACATATTAGATTTGCCCTGCTATATGGCAGTGAAACCCCCCTATACTTGTGAAGGATGTTAATCCACACTACAGGAATAGAAACACCATGAACCAAAATATAACTACAAAGCCTCTTCAGTGGTAGAATATTTATTTATAGGATCTGAGGTCAAGCTCCAGCTTAGAGCACCACAGCCAGGTTAACAGTTCTAAGAGTGCAGAAGCAGCTTCTTTGAGGGCGCTGAATAAGTCATGCCTAGCATATCTTTAAAAATTAAAAAGGGAGTGAAAACTGTTTGGTTTAGGGTAGGAGGCAGATTTACACTACAGTTCACACCAATGAATCGAGGGAGTCTAGGGTGTTGTAAAGAAAAAGGTCGACAACTCTGACAGCCTCAAACATTTGACGAAACTATATGCCGAATTTTGTTGTTTTTTTTAAATATCCTATCATGCTTTTTTACCATGGACAAAGGCAAAATGTAGAGGACACAGGCACTTTACAATTTCTGATATTTGAAGTTCTCTAACTCCTCACACAAATCTGAATTCAGGGAATCAAAAGCTCAGAAAAAGACCAGACTAAAAGAAGGCAGAAGAAAGCCATTGCCACTGCAGTTAAACAGCAGGCCTGATTAAGCATTTGTGCGATGCAACACTGATAGGCTTCAAAGGGAAAATCAGTCCCATTGCACTGGCAAAACGGAAACCTTTCCAACAGTGAAGAGATATGCTGTCCATTACTGACTCTGGGGTAGTTCTGTAAAAACAAACAAACAAGCCAAAAAAACCCAGAAAAAGGGAAACCAAAGCTAAATATAACAGATTTACTGATGGCAAATGCATAAATGTATTCCATTTCTTTCTCTGGCTCTTACAGAAACACATTTTTAATGCCAATATATTTTAATCAAACAAATCATTGCTAAAACGTTGATAAGTTAAAACTGTTAGTAAAAACTTGTAAGTACCTCCCAGAACTACAGAAGTATTTCATATGCTGTATGGCTTAGCACTTTATTTTACTAATTTTATTCCACTTGTTCAGTTGACAGTCTCACAGGGATATGAACTGTGGCCAAAGCCAACTCTTTTTTGGAGGGGGAGGGGTTTAGAGAGGAATATCTACCTCTCCAAAAGCTCAAACCAGCATGATGTAAATTAGCTTAACTTCAATGAAATAGAACTTATAACATGGCTACATGCAATAAATTGTTTGTAACACCTCGTTCTTGTGAAAGGAAGGATGGTCTAGTCCCAGTGATTCTCAGCCAGGGTGCTGCTGTGCCCTGGGACACTTTGAGACATTTTCATGGGATGCCACAGGATGTTAGGTGCACAAACATGATTCACAGGCTAAACCCAGATATTTCCAAACAAAGCCCAGAATGCGTTAAAAGCACTCTGACCTGCTTTTGGTTTTCTGAGTACTTTTCAAGAGAAGACAAGCCTATGAACTTCACTTCATAAGTCTAATGGATACAAAAAATCACGGACTAATTCATCTCCCCACTCTCCAGTGAAATATGAGACATCATAAACTAGAAGGAAACACAATTCTACATTCTGCTTGACACCAGATAAATCTGAGGTAAAAAGACTTCCAACTTTTATCTGAACCAAATTTGCACAGAATGAACTATTCCAACCAAGAGATTTTACACCACCTTCAGCTCTCCTGTGAAATATGAATTTTCATTTCCACCTAGAAATTTTACAACCTTTGCATTCTCCTAGGCCTGAAAAAAGATGCGTGCGCCTGAAAGCTTGCACATAAAGACACTATTTTGCAAATATCTAGATGGTCTAATAAGAGATATTGCCTCTTCCATGAGTTCTGATTCCTTCTGGACTATAGACATTGGATTAATGGCACATTGTAAGCTGCCTGCCATCTGATAACCTCTCTACATGTTTACCAGCTACACTGTCACCAGTTCAACCTGCCCCTTTCCCCCTCACCCACCTGCCCCACACCTGTTGTCTCCCAGTGCTGTAGCAAGGCAAGCAGGGCGACCGCCCCGGGCGCTGAAGCGAAGGGGCACCAACAGGCACTGCCCAGCCGGGCGGGGTGTGGGACGGAGCCGTGTTGGGGGGGCGGGGGGCGCAACTCCTGCCGCTGCATGCACTCCTGGGCAAGCATGGGAGGGGGTGTGCCCCCAGACGGGGGTAAGGGTGGGCTGCCGCTGGAGGCTTTGCCTTGGGCACCAGACTTGGTCGCTATGGCACTGTGGTCTCCTACCCCTCTGATCCTCACTGCCAAGCATTTGCATTTTGCATGTTGTCATCTATTCCCCATGGACAACGCATGGCACCAGCAGACCCTCCCTATGCCTAAAGAAGGCTGTCTGTGCCCCCCAAAAGCTGGCAAAGAACAATTTTCCCAATGGCTTAGTTGTTCTAATCAAAGGTATCATCACATCCACCCAAAGAACCTCGTCTCTCAGGAGAAAAGCAGCTAGCTGCCTCCAGTCTAAACGAGGCAGGGGAGCCCTGATGGAGGCCAGGTCTTCCAGACTCGTGAGCCGCGTCAGGCCCAAAGCCTGAGCTCCTCTCGCCTCCCGCTGCCCCGGCAACAGGGGGTCTGGCTCCGTCCTGCAGCTCTCCAGCGGGGTCCGGGACTGAGCGAGAAGCCCCCGCAGCTCCGGGCCGCGGGGCGGGGGCTGAGAGCTCCTTCGTGCCCAGCCCGGCCCCGGCGCTCACCGGTGAGGTAATTGGTCCACTTGTACAGGACTCCTTCCATCGCTCAGCGCCGGGCCCCGCGCACCATCGTCCCCCTCCCCCTCCGCCTCCGCGTGCGGCGCGGCGCCCGGGAACATG